AGTGTGTGTGTGTGTGTGTGTGTGTGTGTGTGTGTGTGTGTGTGTGTGTGTGTGTGTGTGTGTGTGTGTGTGTGTGTGTGTGTGTATAAAATAACAATTTGAAACTAAATAATAGTTACATAAAAATGAAGATGAAATAACAAGATATAAATGGAAAAAGAATGCAATCAGACTTTTATTCTTTTTTTTGTCTTTAAGGTGATTTAATAGATTTACTTTTTAAATTTTATTTTCTACAATTTCTATCAAAATTTTCTCTTTTCTTTTAAGATTTAAAGATATATTCTATGTTTAACAAGTTTATTATTATAAATAAATTACATACAAATCTCATTTATTATTTAAATCTTGCTTCAAAAGTTGGTACGTTAGTTTAATATAGTGTCATTGTAAGTCTAATAATTTATCGTTGTTTTATTTTAAATTTTAAAACAAAGTTTAAGAGATTTAGAATTTTTTTTATTTTGTCTAAGTTGCAATATCAATTTTGTTGAAAATCTTTTCTTTCTCCTGGAAATATCGTTCGAATTCTCACGATATCTTCCCTATCCTTTCGTTGGCGAATTCTCAAATCACTAAAATAACTTTCAATTCTTAATACCTTTAAGTTTATTTCCTTTTTTCATATCCGCGTTATCTACTGCGAATCGCGCGACCAGTTTTGGAGCCAGCTGGTTTTCGCACAGAATTTGGTGAAGATTAACGCTTCGTGATCTTTGGCATGCCTTGTTCGTCCTCAGACTCACGAAATTCCACGTCGAAAACGAGAGAAAGAAAGCTCATGTGGGCACAGTCGTTCTTTGATATACAAGCGAAAGGAAGGTGAAGCCGATAAATATATTTGATTCATTTCGCCGAAAATGTTCACAAAATATCATCTTAGTCCAAATTTTTATTTCTTGAAAAAAAAAATTCAGGATTTATTTTTGAAGTATACCTGTGCTTTTATATTAACGTTTCAGGAAATCTTTGAGAAACTTATTATCAGATTATTTTAAAGTCTTCGTCGTTGTTTGCAAAAATAAAACGGAAGATTTTTTTTTTCTATGAGTAATGTTAATTATTAATTATTTTACCCAAGAGGACGGCGAGAGATGCGTTTGCATATTGATAAATTCGTCGAACTGCTTTCGTACGCAGCCGGCGTGTGCCGGCCGACCATGGTCGCGCGATTTGCAAAATACCGGTCGACTCGTGGCTATAATAATAATTATATATACGCGGCTGTGATACGTGGTTACAATGATAATCGTAAGGTCACGGCAGTCTGCGGTACGATAAAATAACGGGGTAGGGACCGAAGGTCGCGCCTAGTCGCGTGAGTCATCTCTCCGAGACAACACCCTCTTCGAGAATCTTGTGCGAGGCCATCCGTTATAAGAACGGGCACGTGGCAATCGTTTTGATTATGCTCTTTTAATTCTGGACACTCTTGATATACATTCACATCAAGGTATTCTTTTTATAAATAAGATTTTTTTTTATGAGAATATTTTTAAATATATGCTGATTTTCGATATTTTGGAAGATTTAAGGGAGGACATTATTTAATTCTTTTACATTTAAAAAAATTTTTTTATTTAAATTTAATACTTGTTGAAAGATATTGATTCTGTTAATTATAATTAATTATTAGATAATGTGTTAACATAGATGAATTAATATATCAATCATTAATATGTATCATTAATTATAAATTGTAATAATAATTATAAATTATAAATTATAAATTATAATAATTTATTATATTTTATTATATACGAAAATGTATGTCTATTCGATCGAAAGTAAGGTATACATATTTGGATGTTTTCGTCACAATTGGTATATAATCATTCTCGCCAAGACAGGAGTAAAAGTTCGGAATTTACATTAACATCGCGTGCACGTAGAAATTTACGTGCAAAGTAGAAATTTACCTAGATTCAACTCTCCTTTTTACCTGATTCCACGTTTTTGCTTAAATCTATTTATTTAGAAAAGAAATGTTTTCTTTTCTAATAAACGTTAATCTTCTCTCCTTTTGTCTCTTTTAATTATCTTTATAATATTCTTTTAACTCAATAATTCTAATTTTGCATTAAGATTTAGACATCTTGTATATCTTGTAACACAGATATATTGATGTTTTTTTTTTCTAAAAACTGACGAGATGTCACGTGTTTCCATTTTTGAGTATTAATGAACGTAGGGTTGTCTTTTCAGGGAAATAAAAAAAAACTGAATATTAATTTTAAAAGTCGAAAACTTAAATGCAAAAACGAATCATGTTTTATGTGCGAAAACCATTTGTATATTTTGTAAAAAGAAGAGAGTGCAAACTTAATTTATGATCCTTTATATACATTTCCTTTATATACATTTAATTTAGCTGTAAAATTTTCGAATAAAAATATTAAATTGCTTACAAGTATGCAAAAATATCACGAAAACAGTTAAATAAAACTTTAACTTCGACTCGTGTTTTTATTCGCTTCGTTGTTTCTTTGTTGGTGAGATTGATTTATTCTTACGGTATAGAAATCGTTTTAATGATATCTTAAAATGATCGCAATAAAATAGTTAATTGAGATCCATCTTAGAATCCAAGTGGCACAAATTTTACTAGTTATTTTCTTTTGTTTCTATGTTTGATTCTATATTCTTTACTTATGTATAACACGTTGTTGATTATATAAATATGTTTTAATTTAATTATAAAATTTTAATATTTAATTATAAAATTATAATATTTTATTTATTTTATAATCTGTTATCTTATAACATTTTTCATGATTATTAAACTTTTTATAAGATTTATATTTCTAGACATCTTGTTTTTTAAATGTTAGAAATTTTCAGTAAACTCCCCTTTAAAGTTCGTACTTCCTGAATGGCGTAAAAATGTTCTTACATCATTTAGAAACTAATATACTAATAATAGGATTGATTATGTTCACTATGTTTACTGATTACGAGCTCAGTAGCGATAAGTACAAATAATTTATATAGTTAAGATCTTGTTAAAGATATAAGATATAATTGATAATCAAAATTTTAAATGTTTGTATATATGAACAATGTATTTGCTATGGTATATGTTCTTAAGATTTTTATATAAATTGTATCTCTTTTGCTGCCCTTTTTCTTCAATTTAGATGCTTTGAGAACTAGTTTTTACAATATTGCGAAAGGTCGCATATGTCGTATCGATCAATCGGATCACGCCGTATCGACTCGCTCATATCATCCGTTTACATTTCCAACGGCTATTACGATTCGTCACGTAAGAAAGTTGCACGGGTTTTGCAACGCATTTCGCCATTTCTCGCGACAGTGGACAAGTTATTTCGTCATATAAGAAAGTCTTAGAATCGGAAGGAAGGAATTAGAAAAAAGTAGGAATATAAAAAGTAATACAACAATCGTAAAATTTGTAAAAACTTTATTAAAGGGCGTTTTACTGAAAGAAAAGAACATTTTTTGTTTGCAACAATATTTATAAGAAACATAAAATAATAAAATAGTCAAATAAAGAAATAATAAAAAAATGATAAATAGGTAATGAAATGTGAATAAAATTACATGTACTAAAACGTAAAATAATATAAAAATAACAATAACATAAGATATGTAATAAAAGTTTAACATACAAGAGTATTTGTTCTATCTGAATTTATTTTATTTTATTAAATATTTAGATCCTTATTTTTTGTTTTTTTATTAAATATTACAAAATTGTAAATTAATGGTCGATAGGAACACTCCTTCGAGATTCCTCTGGAACAACAAGAATCGATCCGTGTTTCTTCTTGAGACCAAAGACGATTTCGATCCAAGGCAGACCCGCATATTAATGCAGGACGCTTTCGACGACGACAATGACGACGACAACGGAACTTTCTCGCTCCGTTTAATCCAGTTTCTCGAATAAATCGCATCGCCGCTACTTGCCCGAGTGAGGTAACGAGCATGCGCGAGATTTATAAGTGTGCACAATAAATGGCTTTTGGCTATCGAATCTAAGTAATGGACTCTATACACACGACGATACACTTTTACGTGTCTCACTTGTCAAAGTGAATTCTAACTAATAATTTAGTCTGTGACATTGCGATAATTAAAAACAAATTATTACTACAATAATAATAAAATAATAAAACAATAAGCGTGAATATTGTAGAAAGTATTACGTTAGATATCATTTCTGACAATATAACGTAACAGATGTATTAAATAATGACATAATGTATAAATAATTCAACGCGCAAGTGTTATCTAAAATTCAATTTACCAGCAAAGTTCGCTTATTGTCGGATTATTTATCATTTGCTTAATATCTCTCTTGATCTTATTATCTCTCTTACCATTTGAAAAATTTGATTTAGTTAGCCAGTTAACTAAAAGCGCCGATAATGCGCGACGCATTTACCGTGCGCGCATTCCGCACACTTCTCGCACACGTTATCATCGCGGCACTTCCGGTAAAAGCGATTTGATTTCCAGCCGTTCGAGCGAGTTTTCGCAGCGCCGGTGATAACTTTCACGTCCTATACGGATCGTAGTATTATATTCCGAGTTAACGACCACCAGTTGTGCCTCGCCTGAGCTCCGAAGATATTTTCATGTCGACGTTCAAATCGAACTTCCTCCGCACCTTCCGCGATGGCATTCGTAGAACAATGGAAAATTATTAACAAACATCTCCG